TTGAACATAACAATTTAAAAAACAAACAAACAAACAAACAAACAAACTCCCTACTTAACCTAGGAGAACCCTTCCAGCTATTAAGCAGAGAAGTTCTCATGGAAGAAAGAAAATGCTCTCTGTAGTGAAGAACACAGCTAGGGTTGCAAGAGAAAAGGATAGCAGACTTGATTGGTAGACACTTCCTGCTAGATCTGCTCTCAAACTACAGGAATAAAACAACTAAAAACCTCCAACACCAGCCCAAATCTTCAGTATCTCAAAAAAGAGAAAGCCTAATATGAAAACTCAGAAGAGAACAGGTTGCTACAGGATGAGAATCCCGACAGTATCCCCACATGAGCAACAACTATGTTCAGGACAGCAAAATGCTCCTGAAGAACAGCTCCACAAAGAAATAATCCTATGGTTTGTCAGTGAATTGTGGGATAAGTCAGAGTTTAACTTATTGCTGACAATTTCTAAGACAAAGAAGTTGAAAAATGTTGCTCTTTCTGCATGACACTGGAAGAGTGCCACTCATTATCCATTTGTTAAAGGGAAAAGAATTTTCTCTTTTAACAATTTGGGATGTTACCACAGCTAAGATCTTCACATGGCTCAGATCTAGTGTCCAGTGTGCATTTATTGTGCTGGGGAAGGTAGCTAAGAGGTTCTTTCCAACTAACCTTTTCCAGCCCATAAAATGGGAAGGGGAAGATGATCTGGGCAATAGTGGTGGAATTAATGTTCTTTGACTTCACTTTTAGAGGTGCAGCTGGGATGTACAGGAGGATGTCAGCCAAGGGAGTAGAGTTTGTTAAGAGAATCTCTGCTTGGAGAAATTCTGTTTAGAACAGCCTTGTCAAGACAGTGATGCCTGCCCGGGTCACCTTGCTCCCTCTTGTGCAGGAGTAACAGAGGTAGATCGCTTTCCGCATTGCAGCAGGAAACTCACTTGAATGCAACACCACTGCAGAAGCCTTGAATGAGCAAGGGGCCTGCCTAATCCGTTGCTATACATGGGGTCTTCTGAATGATAAAGTCACTCAAAAACATCAATAGGACATCTTGGGGCAAAGCCTAAAAACAGAGGGTCACAAATAGTACATGAGCATCACAGCTGTTGCCAGAGCTTCAGAGTGTGCACCAGCTTGGAAGGTGACGCACACTGTAAGCTACACACCTGACAGAAGATCAATAATCACATCTCTAGACTCCATAAAGAGTCTCTCAGGATTCATTAACAGTCAAGAACCCCATTGGCCTACTGAAACATCTTGCACCTGCTGATAAACCAGTCTCATTTTCAGAGAAACTGACAAGCACATCTTCTGCAAAGTAGCTCCCAAAAAATTTAGGATCCTCCTCAGAGAGACAATAGTATTATTTGCTGACACAGAGGGTTAAGAAAATTATCCAAGTATACCAACCAGAAACTAAGGAGCAATTTGCCAAGTCAAGCAGATAACTGACACCACAGTACTGCCAAAGCACAATCTGAAATCCTTCATAAATCAGAAAGATGCAACAGGTTAAAAATTGTCTAAGGACAGACACCTGTGCACTCCAAAAAAAAAAAAATCAGGACAAGAAGATAACTGCAATACCAGCAGCAAGCTAAGCTTCTAGTCAGACAAGCGAGGGTGTGCTGCACAGTAGCATCTTCCACCTATTACAGGAGCTGGCTAGAGGAGTCAGAGACAGAACTGGTAACTCTGTGGCTGGTGGTGCCACAATCCTCTCCACAGTTCTCATGTCTACATGCTAGTTATGCTTGTGCCCCGGGGACCCAGAAAATGTGCAGTCCCATGAGACACGCTAAACTTAACTGAAAAGTACTCTACTTCTGGCAGGAATGGACCCTGAATGCCAAAAGAGGAACATGAAGCCTAATCTGTTCCTCAGCCACAGCTCAGCAGTCCACATGTCTTGTGAGCAACCACAAATAAGTATGGAATGTGAGTGACAAGAGCATTAGCACAGTAACAGAACAGCTGACAACAAGGGCTTCTCCAGAAAAGGTGATGTGGGACGTAACTGTCTAGCACAAATGGTCTCAATTCTGATTAGTCAGTGAAGCTAACGGTGCCAGAGGTAGCTGCAGAACCAAGTGCCAAGAACATAGTTTGAACACTGATGGACACCATATTCTGTTAGAGTTATGGGTGCACATCCTCTGCAGCAGCAGCTACTCACTCATTTTTTAAGATTCAGCTTTTCTGACCAGGCCAATCTTTATGACTTTCTGAAGAAGTCTAAGCTGTAGCACTATGGATTGAGATCTGAAAAAGTGGCTATGCTGGCAGCAGGTCTAAGGTCCAGTCTCCTGACTGAAGGCCTAACCAGATGATGATCCCTCAGAACAACCAGGAGAGTGCTCATTACATGAGATGCTGAGTTCAAAACAATACTTGGGTTCACATAGGCTGTAGGCTCAAGATGAGACACTGCATCAAGTACACTCAAAAATTTCAGCAGAAATTCCTGCATGCAGCACTTCTATTCTTGTACATGCTGCAGTTGGAAGGAATGGAGCTTCTCCTGAGGCTATAAAGCATTGAGTATGGGGTAGATGCTAGGATGCATGCAGGAAATCAGTGGATTCACTACTGGGCTGTAGTAGAGCAGGTTCAGCATGAACCACGCCACAACTACAAAGGCTGTCACAGCAAACATCCTCATTCTGGTAAGCTGAGAAAAACTCAATGTGCTTGGCACATGGGCTTGAGTCAGTATAGCATGGAGCGGACAGGGCCGCTGTGTCCCCTGTTTATAGTGCTACAGTTGAAATATTCATTTGTCATATTCACGCAGGAGCAACTGGCCAAAGCTCAAATGGACTTGTCAAGAACCAAGGTACAGGTTAAAATTTCAGGATACTTGTAAGCAGTAAGGGTTGGCTATTTGTCATCACCCACCTGGCCTTGTTTCCAGCACTCCCTGAAGATCTTCCAGTTGTTTTTGTTGCTAGGATCATGAAGGCAAAGGAGTCTACCATCACACAGCCAAGAGTGGGAAGTATGTGGATCCAGCACATTTAAGCCCATTACCATTTCCTTCACCTCTCTCTGTGTGTCAGCTAAATTACTAGCTCGTTTTGCAGCATCAGATGTCTTCTTATTTTCCACCACAGAAGCAATGATATGGTCTAAGAAGTTAGGCAGGCTGGCTTTACCTTTGGCCCCCTAGGAGATATAAATCCAGAGTAAGTTCAGCCTTGCAACAGCATACATATTATTAACACATATCTGCTCTCATTCAGATTTTAGTCATGGATATCTTGCTATCAACAGTAAAAAAACCCCCATGCAACAGTAAACAAATCAGCTCAGAGACAGGCATGTATCCAGCAAGAGCAGAAACAGTTATTCCCCTGTTTCATAATAGTAAAACTTAACCTGCCACAAGCTATCTAGAAAAATATTACAGCAAACAATCATGGAACAGAAAACTTAAGTGATCTAAACTCTGCTACTGGTTCTGTACTGGTACTGTAATGGTTCACATTTTTCTTAACTTCATTAATATCTCAACTCTATTTCCCCATTTCCCTCATTCCATTACTAAGAAAGTGAATTCAACCCTGGCACAGGTAAGCTGACAAATACGGGAACATCAAGTAAACACTGACAGAGAGGAGAAAGTGCTTCCTGTATGTGTAGTGTTAATAGAAACATCAGTAGACAGCCTAAAACTCCTCAAGAGATCTTTAAAAATCAAGAGAGATCAAGAACACAATCTTAAATTGTGTTCCTAACTATAAAAAAAAAAAAAAAAAAAAAAGAAAGCCCTGCCTATAGCAAGATACTTAAGACACTAAATATATTTTGTAAGTTCAACAGAAGATGAACACTAACTGGATCATTATTCACAAGATATCTATGGGAGGGAGCAGGGTTGTGATAGATTTCTCGTAGCAAAGAGCTCCTCATTCTAGCAGAAAAAATGCATCACCTCTCAAAAAAAGCAAACCAGGGACTGGAAGCTGAGTGAACAACAACAGCGAAAAAACTATTACTGGAACAATTTTGCCATCTTCTTTAAAACTAAAGTTCAATAGACAGAACATTTACCATATACAGGGCTATCAATCTAAAACCTCACACTGTTCATAACTGAAGACATTCATTCAGTAAAAAATATTCGTGGAAATACAGAAGAGTCTAGGTCAGAAGGCAGACCTAGAGATCATTTGGTATAACTGTCTGTTGAAATCAGGTTAAATTACCCTGGGCTGGGTCAAAGCAAACCTTTAGTTCTCAGGGAAGGAGATTACATCACTTCTCTGAGCAGCCTATTCCACTGCTTGAATGTAAAGTAAGAATTTTTTCTCATATCCAGATAGAATTTCCACTGAAGCAACTTGTGTCCATTGCATCTTGCTCTGTTAACGGTGAATCCTTGTGAAAGGAGCACCTCCATGTTCTCTACAAGTACCTGTCAGATGTGGTAAGATCAAACATCCCCAAAGCATTCTCTTCTCTAGGATGAAGGGAACCAGTTTCTTCAATCCCTCTTCATGTGTCAAGCTCTTCACTGTTTTAATCATTGTTCACGGCCCTCCATTGGACTCCCTCCAATTTTTCAGTGTCATTCTTCAGCTGGGGAGACCAAAACTGGAAACAGTGTTCCAGGTGTGGCCTAGCAAGTGCTGAGTAGAATAATCACATTCCTTGATGTGCTCTGCTACCTGATGCAGCCCGAGACAGTTTGCCTTCACAGCTGCAAGGGTGCAATGCTGACTCATGTTCAGCTTGCTGTCCTCCAGGACCCTGAGCTCCTTTCAGAAGGGTTACACCCCTGCTAGCCAGTCCCCAGTCTGTACTGCTACTTGGGATTATATTAATTTTCTACAGCTTGTCTTATGCAAGTAAGACAAGATCATAACATCATCTGCTTAAAAAATGTACTTTACGCTAACTCTCCATGAAATAGGTAATATGCAGGTAACTACTACAGTCAATGCTAACTACTCTTTACAACAGAATGTCAATGCTCCAGAAACACTCAGGTGATTCTCTTCACGAGCAGCAATCTATTACTCCTCTCAATCTGACCAATACAACTGCTGTTTCTCAGGTGTGATTTGTTCATATACATTCTATACTGAGCATCCAGGCATTCAAGTGGGGGCCTGGACCAGAGTTCCTCACAAGTTCGTTCAAATGTAAATTACTCTGTGAAGACCGTAAGTCAAGAAAGTTAAAAAAAGACATTACACAATAGTTCTGATTCAGTGTGGTGACAGAATGCACCTTGGTGAGAGTTGCAGGTACAGGGATATAAGTTGAGACAGGCCCTCTCAGGCCTTGAGGGAATAACTTGCTTTAAAACAAGTCATCACAGTTTCTTTGCCTGTACTCAGTGATGCGGGGCTGGGGGAGGCAGTATTACTGAATGCATTTCCCTGTAGCAGTGACATATTTTCCCGTACAGCTGTACAGTTCCCTCTACCAAAAACAAACAACATGAACTATTATTAAGGTTCCATCCTTCCAGCCTGACACAGAAGAAAAAAAAAAAAATTCTGCTATGAGACAAGCCATGTCACCATCGTCCTCATTCCATCTGCCTAAGCTTTTGGAGACAGTATTCTCCAAGAAGAGCTAAGCCTTGATAAATTCTACAGAATCTATCCTTCTCTTAAACTAAATGCTTTTAAGCATTTCAAATATCATTGATTTGTTCAAGGTTTTTTTAAGGTTATTTCCTCCAAAATAGATTAAAGAGAAACAAAGTATCCTTATTCCAAAATGAGTATCCAGAAACAGCAACTGCACCTTAAATTTTTTTTTTTGTGTGTTCAGTTTTGGGCCCCTCGCTACAAGGACATTGAGATGCTGGAGCATGTCCAGAGAAGGGCAACAAAACTGGTGAGGGGTCTGGAAAATAAGTCCTATGAGGAGCAGCTGAGGGAACTGGGGTTGTTCAGTCTGGAGAAGAGGAGGCTGAGGGGGAGACCTTATCACTCTCTACAATTTCCTTGTAGAGATGTTGGTATCTTCTCCCAAGTAACTAGCGACAGAAGGAGATGAAATGGGCTCAAGTTGCGCCAGGGGAGGTTTAGATTGGATATTAGGAAAAATTTCTTTACTGAAAGAGTGGTCAAGCATTGGAATAGGCTGCCCAGGGAGGTGGTGGAGTCACCATCACTGGAAGGGTTAAAAAAACATGCAGATGTGGCACTTCAGAATATGGTTTAGTGGGCATGGTGGTGTTGGGTTGATGGTTGGACGTGATGATCTTAAAGGTCTTTTCCAACGTTAATGATTCCGTGAAATTCTTGAATTCGTATGTTAAATGCCTTTCAAGTATACATAAGTTTTTTTAAGGAACTAGTTTGCTTTTAGGTTTTTGTCTTTTTCTGTGGTATGCTCTTGAAATATTTTTGAAGATGCGGAATTTAAAGTGAGCTTTTATAGGAATGCTGATTCTCAAATAAACAATTTAAAGGGTATATTTAACTCACTTTCTTGGTCTGCAAAGAATAGCTTCTCCACAGCAGTCGTAAACCAAACCACAAACTAACAATCAGCACCAAAATTCCCTACAACTTGGTGAGTGTTGGTGAGATAGTTTCAGCATTTGTTTCAACATTTAAGAATAAGATACTATAAAAACATTTAGATGAAAACTGTTAGATCATCATGAAATTCTTCCCTAGAACAGATATTGTTGAAGGAATACAAAATTATTTACCGTAGAAGCTGCAGAAAAGACCGGAGGAAAGGGGATTCCTGTGTCTAATGGGACCTGAGGAAGCTTTCCTGGCCCTGTGTGTAGCAGGTCTCTGAGGCTGGAGCCTTCAGCTTTGTTGCTAGATGTCACTGGGCCCAACAAGAGGCTATTAAACAGCTTTGGGGTTAGTGGGGAAACCTTTGTACTGGAGTTGAAGGAATCCAATCCAAAAGGTGAATGGGATTCTTTATTAAGCACTGACCTCAGTGATCCTGATTCTGCAAGATAAATATCAACATCGGGGGGGGGGGGGAAGAAAAAAAGAAAAAAGGCAAAGTTCAAATGGTCAAAGTTTTCTGAAATTATTTTCTCTTGCATTAAATAGGCTTTTGACACAATCTTGTGGTAAATTATCACTGCAACAGTGAATGAGGCACCTCAAAGAGAATCAGAGACATCACATACTTCAGATAGATTTTACCCTTAGTATGCTGTTAGTTAAGGTTTTGAATAGCACAGCAGATCTAATCTGAAAGTGTTTCATACACAAGAAACCACAATTTTGCAATAGACCAAATTTAAAAAACACGTCCTTGACTTTCTGAATTAATGTTTCAGTATGAAATATTTCAAATTTTTGACTACAGTTAAAATATTACAGTGGCTAAACCCTTCAAAACTAGTGCAAGAATCATGAACATTTAACATTGACATATACAGTAGTTCCTGCTAGATATATGGACAGGAATAAATCCTGTGTTATTCATACCACCGCTGACAACTGGGAGGTGTATTCTGTAAACAATTATTTCATACTGAGAATCACACTCAAACTATTGAGTATTAAAGAAGTCCTAAGCATTCATCTGACCCTCCAGGTAGACTCTCTCAATTCTTTGGAAATGCACTCTTCACATAGCACACAAAACAGCTTTATTTACTTCAATAGTTATATAGTTACAAAACAGCATCTGAAATTATTTACTATCATTTTACAATCAGGATACCAGCTGCTTATTACTTAGAAAATAAATATAAGAACTGGCACTGAAATAAACTGGGAATGACAAGACACTATCTTCAGCTGTATCATCATCTTTCCTGCTTTGTGTATTCCTAAGCTTGTAAAAGAAAACTGGTTCTAAGAGGCAAAGGAAGAAAACTGACCCTCTTCTTTTCTATTTAGGGCTAGGTACTCTCACAAAGAACAGCAACCAAGCAGTACGTTATCATTTATGCAACCCCAGAGGGCATGTCTTCTGCTCACCTTTAGTTTCTTCTTTTGCTTTTTGTGTTGCTAAATCCGCAAGCCAGTGTAAGGCTGACGATGGAGCTGTTTCTGGACAAAGTGATCTGTTAGTCTTTATTTCAACAGTGTTATTGGTTGGTAATGTCTCTGTTTTTGCAGATTCTTCTATCCTACTATCAGTTGCTTCAGATTTTGGAACAGTGTCCATTTCTAGTTGCCCCACTCCTGCTGTCCCTGTTCCAGTGGAAAAGGTGCTCTCGTTTCCAGAGACTGATGCACTAGGATTTATAGTCGGAAGCTAAAACAAAAATAGGAACAACTGCTAAATATGGAATAAAGGGAAGAGTTCAACTTGGGAGACATTTCAGTTATCCAATGCATTGGGTTTTGTTTGTTCATCTACTTTAAGCACACAGTAGAGTTCCTTAATGCATATGTAGCAACAGAATACAGGAGCCACTTCTCTGTGTATATTAGACCTTGCACTGCAGTGTGAATACTTACCACGCCATCTTTTAACACAAGCCCAGGCTTTTTGACTTCTTTTTTTATAGTGATACATTTATGTACTTTCTGGAAGGTTATTGATTACATGATTAGTTTAACTTTTAAAGATTTCCTTAGCATAACAACTGTGTGATTATGTTTAACAGCCTACTCTCATAGTCCTTAGGCCATACTTGCCTCAATGCTAACATTTCAGCTATGTTTAAATAGTTCATCACAAGAAATGCGTGCGTGTAGAACCAAGAGGCCTCATGAAATTAAAACAAAGAAGAGTTAAGAGCAAGAACTGAGAGATTAATTAGTACAGAAAAGATATCTTAACCTTGAGAATAGAAACATCCTAGCAGGAGTGCTCAAACAAGGTTGATAAGAAAGAATTGCTTGGCTGTACAACAGAAGGGGTAAACATCCAAGGAGAAGAAACTATCCTCAGGAGACCCATGACCATAAAAGGGAAAAAGGAGTATGGGGCTAACTCCCCAAACGACTACTGACAACAACCACCCGAGACCCCCGCGCATGCGTAATGTAGTTTTGCAATGCCAGCATTATGTAAATGTAGTAGATAGGCAGGGAGGCCTATTTCTATTAAAATTTCTATTTTCTGATTTCTCAGAAAATGTGTGAATATTCATGCCTTTAAGGTATATAAAGGATGAACTTTTGTTTCAGGGTATGCACATTAGGTGGAGTGATCCCCCGTGCATCCAGCACTGCAATAAAGAATGCCTGCCTTCTAAACTTCAAACTAAGTGTTAGAGGGTTTTCTTGCCAACTTTTTCGGTAACAACAGAAGGACTTTTTGTGTGAACAGTAACAGAACTGCTCTAGATTCAGCATAACATTCAGGAACCATAACAAAATAAATGCTCATGTTGCAAGCTACTCAAAGTGGTTTGTTTTAAGATACAGCATCAATATGAACGGCTTCCTACCCAACTTCTACGTAAGAGTATTAGCCCAAATATCCACTTGGTAAGTAACAGTTGCAGCACACATCCCAAAAAAAGTCCCAGAAGATTTTTGCTAAGCTAAAACACTCAGAATACATATGGAGAAAATAAAGTTTGTGTTTCACATTAGATTAGTCTACAGGAGCTACCATTTTAATAGGTTTTAAAAATATAATGTCAAACAAGGTAATTTCAGCCTCAAATTACATACCTGTGATATTCCATTAGTGACAGCTGGTCTCAACACTGATTTGTTCTGCCGGTTAATACATGGACAATTGGCTTTAATACCCCATTTGCCTCGTGCTGCATGAACCATGTCTCCAATATTGTACAGCGCTGGAAATAAAAGTTAAAATCTTTAATATCACATGTAAAGAAATATAAAAACAAGGCATTAACTGTAATACATATTCAGAGGGGTGGGTTGGGGTTTTTTTTTTTTGTATTAGTGCTAAGTATCTTAAAGATCATATGCTATAACAAGACACTTGTCTCCGAATAGTGTGGAGAATTTTGCTAACATCAGCTTAGCGGTGTCACCGAGAGGCTGGCAAGCCTGGCAAATCCTACAGATTATCATCTGCTCCTACTATTCCATGTAGGGTCCAAAGATACTGCAATGAGGCAACTTAGAACCATCAAAAGAGGCTATATATCCCTTGCAGCAACGTTAAAAGGATCTGAAGCACAGGTAGTGTTCTCCTCTATCCTCCCAGTAAGAGGAAGGAGGTGACAAATTGAACAGGTTGAATGCCTGGCTGTGTGGCTAGTGCCATACTCAAGGTTTTGGCTTCTATGATCAAGAATCTAAATTTGAGAAGCTGGGTCTCTTGGGAGCTGATGGGATTCACCTGCCCAAGCAGGGCAAGAGAGTCTTTGCCAACAAGTTGGCCAGACTTATACGCAGTGCTTTAAACTAGATTTATTGGGGGGAAGGGATGGATATTTGAGCAAGAGAGTCTGCTGATGTATTAGGAACCAACAGGGAAACACCTGGGGAAACACCTGTGAAATGCCTCAAAGGAATTTGGGCATGTTTCTCTCAAGAGGTGACAAGGTTGACAGCCCAGCTGAAGTGCCTCTATACACCAATGCATGCAGCATGGGTAACAAGCAGGAGGAGCTGCAAGTCATTGTGCAATGAGAAAGCTACACAATCTAATCGCTATCGCTGAAATGTGATGGGACAAATCACACAACTGGAGCACTGCAGGGGAAAGGGTGGATTGCTCTCTACATGAAAGAATGGATTGACTGTACAGAGCTGTCTTTGAAAAACAGTGATGAACAGGTTGAGAGCTTATGGGTAAAAATAAGGGGCCAAGCCAACAAAGGAAACCTCACTGTTGGCGTTTGCTACAGGCAGCCTAAGTAGAGCCTGTTGACAAATAGTTCTTACTTAAGTACAGGAAGCATCATGCTCACAGGCTCTGATCCTGATGGGGAAACTCAAGCACCCTGACACCTGCTGGAAAAGCAGCACAGCAAACTGTAAGCAGTCAGGGAGACTTCTGGAGTCCACTGAGAATAATTTCTTAATCCAGGAGACAGACAGCCCAACCAGAGAAGCGTTACTGGACCTGTTGCTCACCGACACGTAAGAACTAATTAGAAATGTCAAGACTGATGGCAGCCTGGGCTCTAGTGATTGTGCCCTGGTGGCATTCACAATCTTGAGGGATAAGATTAGAGTCAGGACGCTGAATTTTAGGTGAGCAAACTCTCAGTTGCTTAAGGAATTCGCGTATGGGATCCCGTGGGAAACTGCCCTTGGGGACAAAAGAGCTAAACAGAGCTTGCAGCTCTTTAAGAACTTTTTTCTTATAGTGCAAGAACTCTCAATTCCCATGTGTAAAAAAATAAAGCAAGAAAGGCAGCAGAACAGCATGGGTCAGTAAGGACCTCCTGCCAAACTAAAATGTAAGAAGGAAATGCACAGGCAGTGGAACCAGGGAAATGTATACTCGGAAGAATACAAGGACACTACCTGGATGTGTAGGGATGGGATCAGGAAAGCTAAGGCAAAGCTGGAGCTGAATTTGGCAAGGCATGCAAAGAATAATAACGGCTTCAACAGGGATGTTGGCCAGAAAAGGAAGATGAAAGAAAGTGTGCACCCCACCCCGACTAAGTAAGACAGGAGAACTGGTGACAGCTGACATGGAGAAAGCAGAGGTACTCAATTCCGCACCCTCCCCCTCGCCTTCAGTTTTCAGTGATACTCTCTCTTCCCACCCCTCTCAAGCCCCTGAACCTCAAGGCTGGGGCTCAGAGAACAAAGTTCCTCCCATCATAGCAGAATCACAGAATACCTAAAGATGGAAGCATCATCAAGTCCAACTCCCTGTTCCTCGCAGGACCAGCTAAAACTAAGCCATATGATTGTGACGTCCATCCAGACACTTCTTGAACTCTGACAGGCTTGGTGCCATGACCATGCCCCTGAGGAGCCTGTTCCAGTGACTGAGCACCCTCTCAGCGAAGAGCCTTTTCCCAATATCCACTCTGAACTGCCCTTGGTGCAGTTTCATTCCATTTCCTCATGTTCTGTCGCTTGGTCACCAGAGAGAGGAGATCAGCACCTTCTCTTCTGCTGCCCCCCCAAAGAAGTTGTAGACTGCAATGAGTTCACCCCTCAGCCTTTTCTTCTCCAAGCTGAACAAACCAAATGACCTCAACGACGCCTCATAAGTGTTGTCCTCAAGACCCTTCACCTTGCCCTCCTTGCCCCTGTCACCCTCCTCTGGACACACTCTAATAGTTTGATGTCCTTCTTGTATTGAGGTGCCCTAAACTGCACACAGTACTGGAGGTGGGGCTGCACCAGTGTCAAGTTTGAGACCACCTGAGGAACATGAACATACACAAGTCCATAGGATCTGATGAAATGCATCCCAGGGTCTTGAGGGAATTGGCTGATGTAGTTGCCAAGTCACTCTCCATCATATTTGAAAAGTCCTGGCAGTCAGGCGAAGTCCCCAGTGACTGGAAAAAGGGAAACATCACACCCATTTTTAAAAAGCATAAAAAGGACAACCCTGGGAACTACCAATCAGTCAGCCTCACTGCAGTGCCCAGTAAGATCACTGAGCAGATTCACCTGGAAGACATGTCAAAACACATGGAAGACAGGGATGTGCTTAGAGACAGCCAACACAGCTTCATCAAGCACAAATCATGCCTGACTAAGCTAGTGGCTTTCTTCAATGGAGTGACTGCATCATTGGACAAGGGAAAAGCAACAGATGTCATCTACCTAGACTTCTGTAAAGCTCTCAGAACAGTCCCTCACAACATTCTTGTCCCTAAATTGGTGAGATATGAGTTTGATGGATGGAATACTCAATGCATAATGAACTGGCTGGATGGTCACATCCAAAGAGTTACACTCAATGGTTCTATGATCAAGTGGAAATCAGTAACAGTGGTAAACCTCAGGGGTCCTTACTGGGACCAATACTATTTAATATCTTTCTCAATGACATAGTGGGATTGAGTGCACCCTCAACAAGTTTGCAGATGATACCAAGCTGAGTGGTGCAGTTGATTCACTAGAGGGACCTTGACATGCCTAAGGAGCGGGCACACGTGAACCTCATGAAGTTCCACAAGGCCAAGT